TGTCTACAAAGAGCCGCTCTGACTTTGTACAGGGAACAAAACAAGATGCTAAGATTGCATAAAAGTTTTACTTCCTCTCTGCCTGAAAATAAATAGGCAGGTTTTTCTAGAATTGAGGTACAGCTACTTTAGCATCTAAGACAGTTTCAATCAGCGCCCAGCTTTTCCTCAACAAGGAACTGTTACCTACTGCCCTATGGCAGACGATGACTTTGCCTCACACCACCTTCGTTCTGAGGACCACTTAATCTGCAGGACCACTCACGGATGCAAATCCCAAACATTTTAATCAAACACTTTGGTTTCACATACAATAAACAAACCACAGCTGCTTCCAACACATCAGTTTTGTGCAGAGCTGCCCTCAAGCATCCCTACTCTCCATGCAAGCTGAGAAACATGGGCTCCAGATCACCTTGTTGGGCTTGGACGAGAAGCAGCACTAAAGCTGGAGTTGCCCAGCAGCTGGTGCTCTTCCCTGATGCAACTAACACAAGCACCTGAAAACACCGCACTTAACACCAGGAACAAGTCTGCTTCTCAGCAGGTCACAGGACTGTATCCTTAGCTTTGAGCTCTGTAACTAACAATTTGCCAGTCCGTCTTACCAAGGCAGCAAGACTCTCTCCGAGATCCATCAACTCACTTCATACTGCACGTTGCTGCTTCTCAGGATCAACTGAATCCTGTTTTTAATGCACAACACACTCTTCCACATGGGAAAGGAACTTTAGAAGAAAAGAAAGGAAAAAAAAAAATCACAGGAAATACACTGCAGCACTTCTCTTTCCATTGACTTGCTCAAGAGTTGCCTGAGAATTCACTAGAACGTAGACTCAAACTCAACAGCTAGAATATATCTGTGTATTTTGCAAACTACACATTTAGACATGCAAGCTCAAAGTTCCCATAGAAATTTCTCTTTCCTACCAATGTAACTGCCAACTATTTTTAGGATTTTTTTTTTTTTTTTAAAGTAAATGCAATGCTTGGTAAAGGGGTGTGATTGACAGCTCTGGAGAAGTGATGAGCAGCAGCTCTGGAAAATGAGGTCTGCTGCTCATCCTCAGAGAAAGCACTTCCACAAGCTCACGTGCCATGCACCTGAGTTCCTGATCCGAGCTATTCCAATCCTATAGTTTTAAGCAGTGCTATAAAAATCTAGAACTGTCCTAAAAATAAATAAATAAATAAACCTACCAGTTTAATCCTTAATCTCTATCAAGTAGATAAAGAGGGTTATTTGCATTATTGTTATTTTTTTTAAAACAAAGGCCATAGTTCACTAGAGGTTAGTCCTCTAAAAACTACAGATTCATTTTACGCTCTCAGCCAGTCAGCAGCACAGCAGTTGTAACTTCCAAACCCCACCAAACTGCCCCTGATTTTTTCCCAAGGCTGCAGCTCACAGACCCTTTTATCTCTGGGAACTTAGCACTTGAAAGTAGCCAACAAGCCACTGCAATACCTCGAATCTGTCAAAGAAACTCCACTAGTAAAACTAAAACATGTGCCGTGAGAGCTACGACGATGAGATCTATTTCATTTGGGCCAGAAAATGCACACTATCTGTAATTTCCTCGTTAGGTTAAGCAGCACCAGACTCGCTCTCCTTGGACATGAAGTTCCGTGTGCCTGCCTGGTGCTAGAATCTTTGTGAACAGTTGTACCTGGTGAAGATGCTGCTGACCCTGACTGCTTGTCACTCCTACTAGTCTACTTCTCCCTAGAAAGCAGGCAGAAAGGGAAGGTGACAGTGTCATTCCCACAGGACTGGCACAACTCTAACCTGTGGTATCCCCTTTCTTCGCCCCCCAGCTTCATCACAGGTCTCCAGAAAACACAACCTGGTGACCTCACTCCGATCTACACGTACAAAACTGGCTGCTTACTGTTGCCAAATTAATTTTCTTCTGTTCAGAATATAGCTGCTCTGCAGTTTAGTGTTCCCTTTAATTAATTTCAAATACACTTCACATTTGCTCCTTCATAAACCTGCCTTTGATGAGTTAACACCGTCATTTTCAGTTACTTAGCCTTCCCCTTAAAATACCTATTAGCTAGCCACCCTCTGAGAATACACTGAAGTTCTTTATACTCTGTAAGACTTTGGCTTAAAAACTCAAAACTACTCCAAGCTCTGCAGCAGTAAGGTGGCCATCATGCACCTAAACAACTCTTCTCTCGGGCTTCTGCACACCAGCAGCACATCCACACGTTTACTCAAAGAGACTCTTCTGATGATTTCCCCCCTTTTTAGCCCAAACACACACGTATTCCTTGGTGCAGGAGCCAAGCCGTGTTTCGTTATCTCTACAGAGGCAAACACCAAAGTGCAAAGGGCACCCGTGCAGCACAAGCACCTGTACCTGTGTTAATTGACTTGAGGTACTTTAATATTCAATTAGAGAAACAGGCACTTGTACAGCAAGCTTTGTTTGTCCTGCTCTAAATTCTTACTGTAGGAAGAGATGAAACGTGTGCTGGAAGGGCTTATTTTTCTCCACTGACTGTAAAACCAGTCCACACCAGGGAATCAGACTGGACATCTGAAGTTAGGTGAGATGAATGGCACCTTTGTTTCCAGCACTGCTCTGAGCACAAGTAATCTACTTTGTCACAGCTCTGTTCAATCGCAAATCACAGCGGGACCAGTGTCCACAACACTGAAACACGGGTAGATCAGTTAAATGACCAAATCAAAATAGATGTTTACAAAGACGGGACGGTAGGACACCAAGTATGTGTTTCAGAACAAGTATAAAACCATGATCTCGATCAGTCGCTACTCAAGATCTCACGCTGTTTTCCATGAACTGCTCTAACGCTGGGTCTGGCATCCCAGTTGAGTTTCAGTTTGATGAAACCTTCCGCTGGCCTGTTTTCCCCAAACAGTTTCAGGCTGCTAAAAGCACACACGCTTCGCTTCACACTCTGAATTATTGCTGTGCAAAGTTTGAAAACAGTAGGGCTATACCACGGCCAACTGTCTGCCACGGACAGGATGCTCTTCGTACGGATGTGGAGTATCAGCTCCTAAAATACTTGAGGTGAAAGATGCTCCAAAAAAGGCAAGAGTATTCTCCAGCAAAAGAAACTAAACTGCCAAGAACAGAACAACAAACATGCTGCCTTAAGCTTTCCAGGAAACAGAAGACATGAAGAGATTCAACTCAAAAATCGCTGAACAGAGAACTTTACTCCATTTCTGTCCTTTCACGTAGTCACAACAGAAGGACAGACAAGCCTCGCTCTTGAGAGGAGATGGACAGGGATTTTCTGACATAAAGTGTTTCAGCAGATAAATCAATTAATTGAGAAAGAAGCTGCTGGTGAGAAAGGACTTTTGGAGACAAATTTTCCAATTCAAAACAAAGCTCTGAGATTATTAAAAACAAAACAAGAGACACTTCTCATCTCAAACGTGACAACAAAACTTTAGTTGCTCGTACTAAAATGGCCACACACCAAAAGGTCATAAACTGAACTGCCCAGTGCATCAGCAATCTTTTGGAACACGGGGCCAAGCAACACGAGATTAATATTTTATGTCATTTATCTAGGTTTTTTTAGTTTCCGTCCTGTCTCAGAGAGAACATTTCCTGCCAAAATCTGTTTTTACTCCTATTTCATGAAATAAGGAGCTAAAAATCTGGTTTTACTCCTATTTCACGTAATAAGGAGCTAAGATTCATCTGAGTGTCTCTTACCCGATACCTCAGTCACTTATTTCAGGCTCACCTTCTGCCTGCCCAGTCTTGGCCAAAAGCGACCCCAGTTCCAGGATGCTCTGCTCTTTGACTTGCACCGCTTCTTCGTCATTTTCCTGGACATCGCGTTTCACTAGAAAAGAGTGGAAAAGTTACCTTTAATGGTATTTCAGTGAGAAAGTAATCGTTACTAGTCAGCTCCTGGAAAGGCACCAAAAAAAAAAAAAGTAACCATTCTAACAGGGAATCGTGAATTCTGTTTGGCCTGTGAGATCTGGAAAGCAGATTACACGGAAAGTTTAAATGCATAGTTTATGAAGAGCACTTCAGCTATACTTCACAAAGAATTTAATCCAGCTGATAGATACAACTGCACGCTCCAACTTAACTATAATTTAAGTTTTGAGGTAGTTTCATTAAGCTTGTCCAGCTGTTTTATTTAAAAAGTTTCATTTAAATAACACCACCACACAACAGACCCTCTCCGACTGAAGCCACAAAACCAAATAAAAGAAATTTAACGTTATTTCCGGCATTTGGATTTCTGATGTTGCCGTTCTGCATATCAAGTTGCGATCCTGTGGTCAAAACACAGCGCAAGAACAACATCGGCTCCGTGAGCCGGGTACGCCTGTCCTCTTCGCTCAGGAACCCTGCGGGAGTCAGCGCTCCTTCCCACACCGAACTCCGACAATCTAATCATCGCTCTGTGTACCAACGTGAGTAACTCTTGCTCTGAAGTACGCGGAAGGGCCAAATGACACACGGCAGCACCAAACCTGTGTTTACGCAACATCAATTTCATGTAAGTTATCCACAAGGCAATACACTTCCTTCCCTGCCACCTGCTAAATGTTCAGCTCCATCATCCCCCGCACAGGTGAGTTTGTCCAACTTCTACACAAACAAAACCAAAACGCGCTGCCCAGCTCCACAGAGGGAACTGAAACCCTCCGCACTGCCCCGAGTGCAGCCTGCAGCCTTCAGTCCCCAAAATTTAATACGCGTGGTGTCAAAAGCAAAGTAACTTTGCTCACAAGCAGTAAAGTATCGCAGCAACGCTCTCCAGACTGCTCCAGCTTACACCAACCGGCAACACGAGCTGTGAGTCCTGACTGAGCCTGACAACAACAGAAAGTTGTAGATGTGTTGACAGGCTTGAGGACACCAACTACTAATTAACCAGAGAAACACCGAGAGGGGCGAGCAACTTTTAAAGACCATGCAGCAATTTCAAGGTCCAACACGGACACCAGGAAAATTTTGGTCAGCGGGCTGACAGCAGGTCACAGCATCTTTTCAGAAATCACCACACATCGCAAGGATCGAGAATTACTGTTATATACATCGGTTTCTGAGGCACCCCCTTGTCCCCACCCCATACACCCCGACCCCAAATAAAGGGGAGTATCCGCCCTATGCCTACACACCACTCCATAGCACCAACGGTTCCTTGGCACCGATAACTGTCCAGCACAGCCCAACAAGGCAACTGCTGCAAACAGCACCTGTCTTGAAACGAGAAGTTAAAACTCCAGACAAAACACACACAAAAACTCCTCAAAACTTTCTGCGTAGCGCTTCAAAGGTAATTTAAATACCGGGTGTATTTTAGAGCGGTAAGAGGAAAT